GTTTATTGTATAGTAAACCAGATCATATCAGCGTCGCTACCATATAGGTGACGCCTCGAGCTTCGCTTGAAGAAGAACACGCTATAGCACTCAAAATATGACATACGTCACTAATGACAGTTGTCAATATGTTGTCTGCAAATTTCACTTAATGGGAACGCAAGATAGCTTCACTGTATAGACAGGCCAGTAGTACGCATCCGCGCACACTAGTGGGACGCCGTCGCTTGCAATGAAGGGCTCAGGGAGTAAATTAACCCACAGACACAGCCCACTGAGTTTCTCGCCGGATCTTCTCAGTGGATCGCGTTTCTGGTCCGGTGGTAAATTCTGTGAAACACTGCTCTTGCTGGGGTTAATGCTAGCAACGTCGTCAGGTTTGAGCCCCGTGATCTCATCTACTTGTTAAGGTTACGCTGAAATGGTATCTCAAGACCATCAGCTTAGGCAGGAAAAAAAAAAGCGGCACACCTTCCATCCTTACTTAAAAATTTATTCTTCCCTACATTGCTTAATGAAGCATCTCTAAACGTTCTCTCAAACAATTACCTTCACATTTATACGAGATAACACAGCAACAATTGTTAATTTCAATGAACCCCTCTGGAATACGATAGAAATACGATCCATGAAAAATTCAAAACTCAAATAAAAGAAGCAAACTAATAAAAATATAATGAGGCGGAACTGAAGATCTTCTACTAGGTCTGTATATAAAAGAAAGGTCGAAATGTTTGTGGCAATACATTTTATTTTATTGTACTGGATGACTGGTGGTAGGACCTCTTGTGAGTCCGTACGGGTAGGTACCACCACCCTGCCTATATCTGCTGTGAAGCAGTAATGCATTTCGGTTTGAAGGGTGGGGCAGCCGTTGTAACTGTACTGAGACCTTAGAAACCGGTGGCGGTGCTACCATCCAGTCTTTTTATTTTTTTATTGCATAGACGGGTGGACGAACTAACAGCCCACCTAGTGCTAAGTGGTTACCGGAGCCTATAGACATCTACAACGCAAATGCCGCCACCCACCTTGAGACGCCAAGTCAAAATTTCACCTACCAACCGCAACGAATGAGGGCTTTACGAAAAAAATATAGTACCAGTGGGGAGTTACATTTTCCAGCGCACCGCTATAATACTCAGAGAACACTGATACCTTGTTCTGGTGAATATAACTACAAAATGCCTTCAACTATATATTTAGACTGAGATAGAACAAAATAGAGAAACTACACAGACAAAGCCGCGGTCTCATCCCGGTTTTCCTTAACAAACGGAACGAAACGAAGACTTTCTGGAAACACAACTGATCATTACCAATAATAAATTGTAATAAGACGATACGTATTTTATTGAGCGGCAAATATCGGTTTTATGGGACCAACGGATAACTGGTCCGAATCAGACGCGAACGCTCTCTTTGTGAACGAATAGTCGTAGGAAATTGTTCTAGAAATCAAAGTGAGCTTATAACGAAATAGGATTTCAGGAGAATATCGCAATGTATAAAGGAATATGGAAACAAAAAGTGGCCTTTTCCAGAATTGCTTCGGCTAAGGTTTTGTGATTTGAATCTGGAATTTACAATTCCCTATGTCAAACCACCCACAGATTAAAGCGATTTATATGACATTTCCTGTATTGTTATTTTATGGCAATCTTCTGGATTTAACATCTTTAGACTTTTTGTTTGGGGCTTCGAATAATATAAAGTCTATACTAACGGTCCACAATCGATTCAGGACCTCATGGAATTCGTGAAGTTACCGGGTACAATCAGCTGCAAATGTGCGAATGGGTGATAGAATATGTCATGAGACGATTATGGTCCTGCAAGCGTACCAGTGGTGGTTGTTGGGCTGATTTTGTTTTCATTTTAAAGACATATTCTTCTCTTTAAATATACTTATAAATAAATGTGGGATCCTCTATTCGGTTTTGTTACTCATTTACATTACAAGTAAATAAAATATACAAGTCTTTCGACTTCAGAGTTACCTACACTACCCTAATTCCTCCTCTGGCTTAAATTAAAACTATGTGTCTAGCATTCATTCACCGTCTCTCTTGTCTTCTAACACGACATTCTCCTATCTCTATCACTCAATATGCTCCATATCTATCATTCATCCATCCATTCTATTTCTACATTGGAACACCCTGTACTATTTCTTTATTATCGGCACCTAATAATTGTACCACCCAAACTCTTCACATGTGTGTGATAAAAGGCTATCAAATTATTCACCGGAGATTGGACAGCAGTGAATAAAGTACCAGCATACTGCAATCGCCAACGTAAAATAGAACAATAGCGTAAGATTGTGGGCCATGCGCACGCCTGAATAAACTAAAACAGTGTAGGAGCCCGCTATACAATGCAGGAGACGGTTAACTCTCTCCCCAAGATTATCAGTCGCTGTTACTGGCGTTAGTGATAATGTTGAGCAGAGTTAAGACACACTAAAATCTATTTAACGGACAGTTTGAAAACATTGCTTAAATTGTTTGAAAGAAAAATATAGTAGCTAGATCAGAGAGACCAATATCCAAATTGTCTTCTTGTTAGAATTTTTATGGTTTCTGTGGCCTAATAGGTAAGAAGTCTGTTGTATCATAGGATACTTGATAATATTATTTATAGCAGCGCAATAGTTTTCAATTATAGTTTTGCGATTTGACAAATAAGACTGAGATATTTTTGGCCACTATTCTAGATATTACTACTCGTACTATAGTGACGGGTTTATTAAAATACTATATAATACTAAACTAAAATACAAAAGCTCACTACCGATCAAACACGCGAAGCATAAATACGCCATGTCAAATGCATAGATACATAAATGACATAATATATATTTAGAATTGAATTCATGATACATCATAAACAATGCTTGTGTATTGGTTAATGAATTAAACAAATTAATCCAAATCAATTTAGAATATCGTGCTCTGATGATTCAGTCGTCCTAAAATAGAAGCTTATTGTTAAATTTGACGTTGTATTAGATTTTGTTTGATAGGAATTAGATTTTAATAGCTGTTGGCGCTTTTTTAAAACAATTTTGTTTAAAACAATAAAGATGGTTTGTAAAGCATTTAAGCAATAAAAAAAGAAAAGAAAAAACAATTAACTAGTAATAATTAGTAGTAAAAAAGTAGTATTAATTATTGTTTTATCCCGGGGACCGTGATATTAGACCAAAATAATTAAATTAACTGTTTTTAATTTTTAAAATGTTTTTTTTTGTTTGATAAATCAGACATTAGAGAATAATAACTATATTTTTTAAAGTTACAAACGCACACAGGTCAACCTAATAAAATCGTTTAGTAACAAATAATTTGATTATAGGCGATGATATGAATATGAATATGATGATATGAATATATGTATCCAACGCATATATGCATGTATGTATGTAGACCACGGGTCGTCGTCCACCGAACTGGACTCAGGGCGAACCCCTCTGCCTCTGAGCATAAATTTCCCTACTCGATGGGGCAGGGTTGGATTTGCTAGCGGGTGTATACACGTGTATCGCGGCAGAAATATCGATATATAGACAAATATAATAATTAAGCTCGGTGGTAGCCCCACTCAGCTGCTCTATCTCCTCACTCCACGATCTTCTTTTCTTCTCCCATCTTCGGCCTCGCTTATCTTTCTACATTGGAAGGTTTTAACAACGAAGGGAATATCTTCCAACAAGCGGCTGATATTACTCGGCAGACCGACGGTCCGAATGTTGTTGTTCGGATTTAATGTATTATATTATATTATATGATGGCTACCGCCACATTACTAACTCTCTCTTGCTTGCTCAATTGCTCGTTTAAAGGTATAAGATACAGCACACATTGATTGTATAAAATGCAAATCTAATATTATATCACTTTATACATAATCTGGAGCCTCTGGGTCTGCGGAGGGACTTCGGTTCCCTCTGTATTTTGTACCGTATGTTCCATGGGGAGTGCTCTGAGGAATTGTTCGAGATGATACCAGCATCTCGTTTTTACCATCGCACCGCCCGCCACCGGAGTAGAGTTCATCCATACTACCTGGAGCCACTGCGGTCATCCACAGTGCGTTTCCAGAGATCTTTTTTGCCACGTACCATCCGGCTATGGAATGAGCTCCCCTCCACGGTGTTTCCCGAGCGCTATGACATGTCCTTCTTCAAACGAGGCTTATGGAGAGTATTAAGCGGTAGGCAGCGGCTTGGCTCTGCCCCTGGCATTGCTGAAGTCCATGGGCGACGGTAACCACTCACCATCAGGTGGGCCGTATGCCCGTCTGCCTACAAAGGCAATAAAAAAAAAAAATAAAAAAAAAATTAGATATTTTTTATGTATACCGCTAAATTTAGCGTGAAATCTACTTATCTTACAAAAAATACTATTCATAGTTTAAAAAAACTTAAAAGAACGCACAAATTTTTCAAAATTATACTTCTGCGTTATCAAAACCTTGACATTCTATATTTAGAAGAATTACGATTGATGCCAACTAGTTATAATCTATATTCAACACACACTCGTGATTACAAACAAAATATGGACTTCGTAATAAATTATTAATTTATCCGCTTATCAAACATTTGTCGAGCAGCTGGCAAATACATTCGTCCCTTTTTAACGCACTGATTTTAATTATATATTGTTGCTGTCCTTTTCGCACAAGTTGACAAACAGGTCTCATTCTAGTGTGTAGCTGGCTGCAGCTTTGTTCGCGTTCCGCTTACAAAATCATATTATCAATTCCTACAAACGCGCGAACGTCGCGGCGCTTCGCTTTTTCGCGCGTAAAAAGTACGCTACTAATATAATCATAACCCTAAAAATGTTTTAGACTTTTAGTATAGACTGGGACGGCGCATGCGCGAGGTCTGTCAAAAATTCTCTCTCAGCGCACCACATAGATTTCGCGAGATTAAACTCAGTGTATTTCTGTGAAATTTATTGAGTGAAAGTGTTTGTTCAAGGATCAAAATGACGGACACTAACGCCGGCGGACTGGACACCGTTTTAAAGCAACTAGGTCCTTTTGGGAGATATAACGTTATCAATTACATGTTATTCTTATATCCCTGTTTCTTGGCCGGAATGTACGGATCGGTTTATGTATTCGAAGCTTCCGATATTAATTATAGGTAAGTGTTAATTTTAATTAATGTGATACGCGTAATTGGTGGGAGAGTCAGCCGCTGTGGGGGCGCCTGTTTAAGCGACACGCATGGAAAACAGTTTCCATCCTGGCGGCCATCGGCAACCCCAGAGACTAATGACCCAGTTAAATTTAGCCTAGTGTGATCTGCGTATGTGCCGCGCTTGAACTTCATTCTTATTCTTAATATTTAAAAATAAATTTTTAGATTTAGATTAGAAACTATTTCTGCCGTGAAGCGTTTCGGTTTGAAGGGTGGGGCAGCCGTTGTAACTATACTCGAGACCGTAGAACTTCTCAAGGCGTGTGACGCATTTACGTCGTAGATGTCTATGGGCTCCAGTAACCACTTAACACCAGGTGGGCTGTGAGCTCGTCCACCCACCTAAGCAATAAAAATAAAAAACGGATTATTCTAGTTAACCGTGTTTGCTACCACGATTTCTGTGTCATGAGAAACGTAACACCTGTATCGAAACAGATTGTGGGTTAAATTGTTCAGATATCATTGGGCGATTTAGATATTTTTTATATATTGTAACTTTATATTTTGCGTCAAGTTTATGTTATGATTAGGAGACGACGCATGCGCGAGTTTCCTTAACAAATGGGTTGAAAAGGATCAAAACAGTATTGTCATAAATATCCTTGTTTAATATTTAAGTGAATGAATGAATTAACTTACCTAATAGGGTGTTCATATCAATACGAATGTCATAGTACGAGTTTTGTATTCTTGACCGTGCTTTTAGCATTATATAGGAATTGAAAAACCCTTCTTGAAAGCAAAAGAGAAAAAAAATCTAATCTAAGCTGGAAATATTCTTAACTAACCGTACTCGCCCGCTTCGCTGGGCATTTAAAATTAACATTATTATTTATTGTCATTATTACTAGGGAGTCAAACAGCCATATAAATATTAACCTATCCATTAAGTACCTACATCTATTTGCTACATGGATACCAAGTTTCAAGTCAATCGGATGCATGGTTCAGTAGTTATAACGGAACATCCGTAAAAACCACTGTTATTGTTATTATTACTAGGGAGTCAAACAGCCATATAAATATTAACCTATCCATTAAGTACATCTATTTGCTACATGGATACCAAGTTTCAAGTCAATCGGATGCACGGTTCAGTAGTTATAACGGAACATCCGTAAAAACCACTGTAGATTTATATATTAGTATAGATTTACTAAACCAAATAAGGATAACTATGATTTAACACTAAACATACTATAACGGGTCAAACGACCTATATTGAACTTTTGCACGTATCATCTTATTGCTTTGGCATATTTGACTTCATGATTTTTTCTTACCAATTAATCTACATTTATTTTTTATTTTTTTTCGTTTTGTTTTGTTTATTTTGAGTAATACTTGTTGTATACCCGTTATCTACCCGCTATGGTAGAAATAGGTACCAGTAAGAGTTAGTATGATTAGTGTTAAAAAAGTTTAAATTTTTTGAACATGTAATGTAACAACCCTAGGTTAGGGAGCTGCCCCATGTTTTGGAACGAACTTCCTTATGGGACGATGCGGAGGGGTACCCTAACCGGGAAAAAACGTCCGTAACGTAAGATTTTTATTAGTAATGCACACAGTGTACGACTTAATTTTGTAATAACGTACAAATTAGTAATGCACACAGTGTACGACTTAACTTTGTAATAACGTACAAAAAATAACATATTTTTTTATCAGTCATTGACCACGATCTCAGAGCGTTCGTTTGTGTAATACACTAACTCTTATGCAAACAACCGTGAATGAAGTGTACCACAATAAGTTCGCATGTTACCGAATGACCTTGGGATGTTGCGAAACGTCCAGTTTTATTTTGTTTATACCTCGAATAGAACTTAAAATTAATATTTTTATAATAAGGAACTTCGTTCCTATCCGGTATCCCATGACACCACACTTTTTTTTTTGGTAACTGGTGGTATTACTGGGGGCTCGCAGGCTTTTCCAGTATCACCAGGACGAGTACGTGAGCACGGGCAGAGCCGCGCCGATCCCCGGTAGCGCCTGTGTGCGAAACCCATGAGGCGCCTCCTATTTTTACGAATCTTCATGTTTCAATGTTTTTAATACGCTTTTATTAGCTTCAGACTTATGTATGTTATGTATGTAACGGAATCTTTGAACATGATTCTGTTTGACCCCCTTCAAAACGTCGGATTAACTCGAAATTTGGTATGCTTATTAAGCACCGATGACATTTCAATATTTAAAAAAAATTGAAAAAATTAAAATTCAACTAAAAAATCAAAAATAAATAACAGTTTCAAAAAAAGTAACAGATTACGCTTTAATAGAAAATCCAACTAAAAAATAGAAAATAAATTTTAATAAATTCAAATTAATAATAGTGTAAGAAAAAAATATTTTATTGTAAAAAAGCGCGGGGTGCTTTTCAGGATATTATCAAAATAACCCTTCTACTCATATCTGTTCATAAAATATTTATAACTACTGATACCATGCACCCCACGCTTTTTTTATAATAAAATCATTTTAATTTTCATCAAATTTTTTTTTAGTTGGATTTTCTGTAAAAGCGTATTTTGTTAGTTTGTTTTTAAACTATTATTTATTTCAAACTTCACTGAGTCTAGAATTATATTTTGTACTGTGTCTAAGAGTGTTCACTGTTTAATTCAATAAGGAAACGTTGTGCGTTTGAGTGGAGACTATGCCGGTTCTAATGAAGCCGGCGCTGTCTGCAATTCGAAATTGGACTCAAGCCGGATGCACCAGAAGGAAAGATCTTAATGTGTCCGAATCATTCATCTGAGAAAATAGTTCGTTTTTTGGACAGAACAGATAAGCCGATCACAGTCAACAAATAAAATTTCGATACATAAACGAACACTGGTACTTACTGGTAACTTTACTGGTGGTAGGACCTCTTGTGAGTCCGCGCGGGTGGGTACCACCACCCTGCCTATTTCTGCCGTGAAGCAGTAATGCGTTTCGGTTTGAAGGGTGGGGCAGCCGTCGTTACTATACTTGAGACCTTAGAACTTGTATCTCAAGGTGGGTGGCGCATTTACGTTGTGGATGTCTATGGGCTCCAGCAACCACAACACCAGGTAGGCTGTGAGCTCGTCCGACCATCTAAGCAATAAAAAAAAAAGAACAAATATTGCTAAATAGGTCCTTATCAAATGTGTTCCAAACAAGCCACTTTATCGTTTACTAGCTATTCCTACTGTATATCGTTAGTTAACATAATCTTATCGGTTATTGTAGAGTGACACACATATCATTAATGTGTGCACATCAAACGACAATCGACTTAGAACTCATGGTTGGAGTTAACGCATGCTGTTCCCATGCAAACGGTCGATAGTTATCAAGAAAAATGTGCCTTATATTTGGCTATACTGTCGCTTGTTTCAGAGCAAACGCCTTTAAGAATAAAATATATTTGTGAAGTTATTGCAAATGTGTCTTTGAAACAACGTGTAGGGAGAGCGAAATTGCAATAGTTCAGACCTGATATTGGAATACGTTCATAAATAAAAATATCTCAATACGTTCTAACATTACCATTGGTCTCATGTTGATTTTTTTTATCCACTTAAGCTGATGCTCTTAAGAGACAATTTCTGCGTAACTTTAACAAGTAGTTGAGCTCACGGGGCTCAAACCTGACGACGTTGCTAACATTAACCTAGCAAGAGCAGTGCTTCGCAGAATCTATCAGTGGATCGGAAACGCGACCCACTGAGAAGATCTGGCGAGAAACTCAGTGGGCTGTGTCTGTGGACTAATTTACTCGCCGAGCCCTTCGTCTCAAGCGACGGGTTCGACGAGAACGATGAGCGGTGCTTGGGATACCTAAAACCACCGTTAGTGGATCGGAAGGATCCAAAATGACGTGTTTTGGGCACCATGTTCCTAAAATTAGGTTTAAGCATTACAAAATTGAATTTATTGGAGAACTGTTTTTTATGTTTATCTTTTTTTAAAGAGTTGTCTTCCAATTATCTTTCTCCGAAATTCGTTATTGTCAACTCTCTTCACAATCCCTTAAGCAAATTATCCTCCTTATTTTTCTATTATACTTTTCTCTATTCATCCCTTGACCTTTTAAATCTAAATATAAAATGTTAATAAGACTTCAAAAGCTTCTTAGTATATGTAGTTTGTATCCAGATCTATCCTTTTGTATCTTCAATAATGACAGAAAAGTTCGAAGCGCATTTTTTATCACACCTTTAATTTCGTGCTTTACATGAAAGCTTACTGAAGTTACAAATTCGAAATATTAATTTCGAAATCAAAGGATCGGTTCCAATTAATCAGTGCCTACGGTTTAATACAGCATCCACTTGTGCCATTCAAATTAAAAGCTTTCAACGTTATTGGATATTATAAATGAATCGAGTATTCATTACATGTTTATCTCTATCGACTGTTATGAAACTGTTAATGTAAAATTATACTGTACTCTTAATCTATTTTGTCGACTACGGCAATTGTTATCTTGGGTGCAATAAAAATAGACAGGTTGGTTAGTCTTGCCAAAACACTAGCATATTTTTAAGGGCCTTACCCTTTTCGCTTCGACATGTAGGGTAGGGTGGGACTAGCTAATAGTGGCCAGAGTGCCTCTGAAAAAAAACCTAACAGTTCAAAATAAAGTGCTTTACAAATAAATCTACTACCAGATTCGCATCGGTCACCGCCCTCGTCGAACCCGTCGCTTGCTACGAAGGGCTCGACGAGCGAATTAACCCACAGACACAGCCCACTGAGTTTCTCGCCGGATCTTCTCAGTGGGTCGCGTTTCCGATCCGATGGTAGATTCTGCGAAGCACTGCTCTTGATAGGGCCAGTGTTAGCAACACTCCGGTTTGAGCCCCGTGAGCTCACCTACATGTTAGGGCGAAACTGAAATAGCCTCTCAAGGCTATCAGCCTGGGTAGGAAAAAAAAAACATTATTTGAAAACTCACAACG